GGGCGTGTCCCAGCGCGGCTCACCACCGGCTGTACAGTCCCGGCGGGACCCGGTGGGTGCCGTCTCCTGGCCGTGGCCTCCTTCTGTGTGTAATGCCCTGCCCCTCTGCCAAGGTTTCTGAGGAGCAAAGGGATATGGGTGCGATCGTGCTGTGCATACTGCGAGGGCCGTCGCCATGAAGCCGGCCCTTTGCTGGCTGAGACCTCTGTGTTCCAGAGGCTGAGTCTGCAGCTCCCCGGAAGCTGGCTTCGCCCACGGGCCTGTGAGTGGTGCCTGCTTTCCGGAGCTGAGGCCCAGCTGCCTTTGCCTACCTGCAGCGGGGCCGGGTCCTGCAGCGCGTCCTCCTCCCGGGGGTAGGGGATCTCTAGAACGGAGTTCATCTCCTCACTGGCCACATTCCGGCTCGCCATCTTGCCATCCGGCCATGTCACCTCCACGCTGCTGGCTTCATCTTTCCCTGTGAGACAGAGGAGGCCCGTCAGCAGCAGAGGGGGGCAGCCAAGTCTCGCATTAGCGGACCCATGCACTTAGTGAAGAGCGTGGACCGGACACTGGTCGCGGCGTTAGGGAACGGGGCAGGACGGAGTCCAGGTCCTGCCTCTTCAGAACCACACGCTCTGCCATCATGGCGCTGTCCCGGACCTGCTCTGTAGTGTGGAGGCCGCTGGCCACATGTGGCTGTGGAGCATTTAAACAGGCCTACTGTGACCGAGGAAGAGCATTTTAAATTTTATTTCATTCGAGTTAATGTTCACGTAGATGGACACGCCTGGCTAGTGGCCGCATCTGGGCCGCGCGGCTCTCGAACTCCACTCCAGCACAGGCTGGCGGCGCCGAGCAGTGCTGGAGGAGGTGGGGAGCCCTGTGCTGTGCAGGCCGGCTTTAAAGGCTTCTGCGCGTTCACAATAAAGCACCAGAGGGTGTGCGTATGCTTGAGAGCGTCGCGCAAGGGGAGCGTCCCCACAGGGCGCGGTCACACCGCGATCCCGCCCCCGGTCCTCCAGCCCGCGTGGGCGTGTGCCTGCTGTTTACAGGCTGACTGCCTCAGGGACTCAAACCATGGTTACTGTGTGGCTTTGGGGTCCTGGGTTCCAGCATTGATCCTGCTACTAACCTGGGATATGGCATAGGACCAGACAGAGAGTGGGCAGCCAGGAGACCCCGTCCAAAGCCCAGCCCTGCAGCTGACCCACTGTTCCATCCTGGGCACGCCACTCACGATCCGCGGAGGGAGCTCTGCCAAGGGCCAGGCTCTTCTGCCAGTGGGCATGTCCCTGCTCTCATGGAGCATCGGCACGCAGACAGATGAACAAATCAGGCTAGCTACTGACAGGCTCGGAGGGGAGAGCAAAAAACAGGCCTGACTAGCGGGCCCGCTTCTGTGGAGGAGGCGTTGGAGCTAAGCTACATAAAGCCCTGGAAGAGATGGGGTGATTACGAACAGCAGTGGCGGGCATGGGAGGACAGGGAGGACCCTCCTCCCCGCTCTGCATGCGTCCTGAAGCTGTGTGGTGCCTCGCTGGCAGGAGGCGGGGCAGAGACGCAGGTGCTTAGGATGGTCAGGCCTGGCCCAGCCTCAGTGTGGCCAACAGGCCCAGCACAGGGCAAGGTCAGGCTAACTGTGATGGGTGGGCGGGGAGGAGGCGGACTGGGCTGTGCCTGCAGGGAGAGGCTCCGCTGGGCACCCTGGGAAAAGGGCAGAGCTGGGCCCAGGGGGAGGGTGTGTGTAGAAGTGGCCATATGGGCCCAGGGCCCTCAGACCCGGATACGCCCACGC